CTATCTATCTATCTATCTATCTATCTATCTATCTATCTATCTATCTACCTATCTATCTATCTGTCTGTGTATCTATCTGCCTATCTACGTATCTACCTTGCGTGTATGCATGTATGAATGTGTGTTTATAAATATATACCTAGTGATAGAAACTGGACCTATTATTTGGAACTAACTCCTAGATGGTTGTGTCAATGCAGGTTGGCCCCTTCTCTACCATTTGAGAGTCTTAGGAGAGTTTCCCCAAGCACTGAGAGATGAAATGACTTGACCAGGGTCCCACAGCCAGGATGGGTCAAAGGTGAGGCCTGAACCCAGGTCTTCCTAGCACTGAGGCAAACTTTCTGCCCACTAGATTATGAAGTTTTTCTAGTTCTAATCTCTTATCTGAATAATAATAGTTGACATTTATGGAGCATTTTAAGGTTTGCAAAGTGCTTTACAAACATTATGAGGAACATGTGTGCACAGATCTATACATATGTAGTATGTTCATATACTTTGAGACTTTTGGGGACATTTGATTGCATTGATGTGAATACTTCCTTCTCCAGCATAAATTGCAAGTCCTCTATGACTAAGTCAATGATCTTTGTGAGTTGCTATAGCCAAATATTTATCATCAGGTGGTCAGCCCTTTGGTAATGAGCTAAACTGGTTCTTAGAAGAGGGATGCCCAGTCTATTGTCAGGCCCATATTCACAGGATCATATATGTAGATGGACTTTAGAAGCCAATTCCTTCACATCATAGATGAGGAAACTGAGGAAGGCAGAGACGTTATGTGATTTGTCATTTGGTCCCACAGATGGTAAGTGTGTGAGGTAGGAGTTGAACTCAGGTTTTCCCAACTCCAAGTCCTCTCTATCCATTTCATTGTCCAACTGCCTTATCTATCAGAATGATCCAAGAGAAATTACTAGGAAGAGGGGTGAAAGGCACCCATTTTCACCAATATATTCATCTTATTTTTTTCTAGCAGACATTTCATAGCCTCTAGGAAGGAGCTGGGGTCAGTGCCAAGGTGAAGCCTCTGGATCTCACCCTCCCCATTCTGAGTATTCACCTATCACAGCTGTAGAGCTTTTATCTGCTACTGCCAAGTAAGAAAACCATGAAGCTGTAAGTGGTTAGACATCCCTTTCACAGCTGGCAAGAGGTCTATAACCCAAAGTTACAACCCAAAGCCAGATTTACTCTGGGACAGATTTCAAGCGGTCTGTGAATCTGATTTTTAAAATATTTTTGCTAACTGCGTTTCAACATAATTTGTTTCCTTAGTAATCCTATGTGTTGTATTTTATGCATTTAAAAACTTAGTTCTGAGAATAGGTCCATAGGCTCCCCTAGGCTGCCAAAAGGGGTCCAGGACACACACACAAAACGTGAATAACCCTTGCACTAAATGATCACCAAGGTCCCTTCCTCCCCTTTATCTTATTATGCCTACCTCTTTCCATATCTGTCCACCACAAAGTGGATGATGCCACCTGAGTGAGAGGGACTACCCTTGTGGCAATGGCCACCTGCTTACCTGAAGGGATAGCCGAATAAAACAAGGATGGAGCTCATGTCCTTGGCTTCGTTGTTGCATCTCACCGTTGCCCCTGTCTCGCCGCTGTAGGAGCCGCAGCACCCGAAGGCGAAAATAGCAAAGAGCTGGGAAAGGGGGGGAAGAGAAAGACCTATTGAAGAGACAGTAAAACCACACCTACCTGACCCCAAACCTCCACAGGTTTCCAGATGGAACACCCAGTGTGACAGAGTGAAAACAGTGCTGGACTTGGAGTCAGGGGACCTGGGTTCCAATCCTCTCTGCTACCTACTCCCTGTGTGAATTTGAGCAAGTCACTTCACTTGTAGTGGGCTATTTCCTCACCTGTAAAATGAAGGGAATAGACAAGGTCCCTTCTAGTTCTTCCAGCTCTATAACTCCCGAGAGTGTCAGAGCATTTAAGGTCAAGTACCAGGCTAAATGTGTATGAGTGTGGATGGTGGGGAGAGAAGAAGAAGCCATCTCTGAGAATGTAAGTTTCTCAAGATGCTGTGCTGATGGTGGGTACTTGACAAATTTTGCAAATAAACAAACCTGCCAAATAAATAAGATTAGAATACAGTGGGGTTTGGGAGGGGTGGTTTCAAGGAAAATCCTCCCCTTTCTAAATAAGAAGACCCAGGACAACCCAAAGGTATTCTCTATTCCATGGGAGAATCATTGACATCTGTCTTCCTTAAGATGCTGGTTCAGCCACAGAACTTCTCCAAGTCAGAGTAATACCAAGAATCCTCTAGCTTTGAATAGAACGTTAAAAACCCAAGAGAACCAGGTAAGCCTTTAGATTTGTATTTCCAAATCAAGTAGGAAGAGACTCTCAGCTACCTTTCCTGCCGAATAGATATACCTACCTAGTATGGTGCTGCTGGACAAAGGTAACATGGCAGGTGAAGGGAGATCCCAGTAGGAGGGTGTGGAGAAAGAATTGTCAGTGAAACAGGACTTAAGTAGAGTCAAACATGGAGTTACATGTGTAACCCCTTTGGTCCCTGTATTTACAGCTCTCCTTTCTTGACAGATGTCCTTCCAAGGACAGCTTTGGCCTTGCGTTGGCAAAGTAACTTGGCTCATAGCACTGGGAAACACACCTTCCTCTTGGTTTCTTAACCTTTGCTTTTTCCCCACTGGAGTTTCCCTACTGCATTTAAAACTTTCCCTGTCTCGTCTGTTGGCCTGCTATCATTTGCTACAGTAAAAGCCCAACGAAGCAGCAGAATAATTTGAGTTGTTTTTTTTTTTCTTTAGTTTGCAGAGTTCCCCCAGCCCCTTCCCTCTCCTTTTTTTTGGGCTGCTGTAGTAGAGAGGTTCGATGGAATGCAAATTCCCAATGGGCTTCCTCTTTCTGACACTTTCAAACTTCCTGCTAGGGAGAAGGATACTTGAATAACTAGAGTCTAGTTAGGGAAGGGGGCCAGCAGTTGGTACTAATTAGTTCTTATCAATTTTCCTCTTAAGGATACACTTGAGTATACTTACCCTTGGCTTGTATACAATATAAGCATTTATTTTTATCAGCCTACATATCTTTTCAGTGTTTGTTATTCATGATCTGTACCTTCCTCTACTGGTTCTTCTGTTCCCAGGTGTTTTAAATTGTAACCACCTGGTGGACTAAAAAATCACTTAAATCCCTCGCTGTTGTTCTATCATTTTTTTCAGTCGTCTCTGACTCTTCCTGACCCCATTTGGGGTTTTCTTGGCAAGGATACTGGAGTAGTTTGCCATTTTCTTCTCCAGTTCATTTTACAGAAGAGGAATTAAGGCAAACAGGGTTAAGTGACATGCCCAGGGTCACACAGCTAGTGTCTGAGACCCAATTTGAACTCACAAAGAGGAGGCTTCCCTCCTCCAGGGCCCAGCACTATATCCACTGCACCACAAGCTGCCCCAAACCCCTCCCTAAGGTGCCCAAAACACATACTTAATGGTGGGGTTCAGAGTTCTTTGGTGTTTTGAAATATAGTGATGGAACCTATAAAATCTGGGCCACAGCTCATATGGATCTATGGAACATTACCCAAGATAAAAAGCAAGGTGTCTGGGAAATTTTGGAACAAAATAGAGGAAATTCAACCTGTTTTTGAAGCAAAACACTTTCCATATAAGAAGTATTTTTATATTTGCACATTTTCAGAGTTAATAATTTAGAGGTTAAAATATCACTAACACTGAAATTCCCCACCCTACACCACTCACCTTCCTAGTACCATCTTTCTTGGTTTCATAGAACATAGGCTGGAGAACACTGACATAATTGGGGGGGGGGGGCTGGCTTGGGAGTCAAAAATCCTGGGTTCTATTCCTGAATCTGCCCCTTGGCTTTGGGAAATCTCTTCATCTCTTTGGGCCTGACTAAATGTCCTCTAAGGTCCCTTCCAGTTCTGACATTCCACAATTCTGTGATGACCATTCTAAAGGCTTCCCTCTTAGCCTACATCAGGTAAAGGCCCCACACTGCCCTCTGGTGTTGTTCTGTTCCGTTGCACCCACTTACTTCTGTAAAACCTGGCCAAGTTTGAAGGAATTGAATCCTTAAAGTATCAGTCTTAGCAAGCCATTTAGGCTGTTTTCCTGCTTACATTCTAGTCATATGAGGATGAATCTCATTTTTAACACCTTCTCTAGAAGACAAGTACAACATCTTTCCATTTACCCATTCCAATAGCTACCAATCTTCACTGCCTAAAAATACTTTCTTATTTGAGAGGCAGCCTAGTGCAGTGGATAGAGGAAATGGAGAAGAGTTAGGGATACCTGGGCATTCCCTGCCTCTGATTCATACCAGCTTTGTGATGATACACAAGTCATTTGACTTCTCAATGGCCTAGGCAACTGTCTAAGACGCCATGTTACAAATAATTTATCTAGTTCCCAAACCACACTGATGAAATCACATATCTGGACCCCCAAAATGTCTACTAGATATACTTGAAGGTATAAACTGGATCTCATTCCCTCTTGATGAGACTAGAGAGCAGTTGCTCACCATTCTCTACAACAGGGTTTCACAGACCCCCACAGCATCCATGAATAGATTTCAAGGGCCCCATGAACTTGGATAGAAAAAAAATACATCTTTATTTTAATATAACTGGCTTTCTTTGTAAACCAATGTGTTTCATTTTGTATGTTTAAAAAACATTATTCTGAGAAGGGGTCCATAGGCTTTACCAAACAGCTAAAGGGATCCATGACACACATACAAAAATGCTAAGAATCCCTTCTCCATAGCAATCCTTCGTGTATTAGTGACCATGGAGTAGTGTCCCAGAAGGCATTTTACCTTCTCTGGACTCCAGTCGCTGCCTCATCTATAAAGTAAGAAGTTTGCATTAAGTGATCTCGAAGGACCCTTCTAGCTCCAAGAGTCTACGATTTCTATGTCTGTCACCCCATAAGCTTCCTCCTTTTGAAGTTTAACAGCTCCTGACTCAGCCTTTCCTTGAAGGATTTCCCTAACTTTTTCATCATCTCTGTAATTTTCTGACTCCTCTTTGTATTCTCCTTATCTTAGCTTATGGTTCTTAGAACTGCATACAACGATGTCCTGTAAGGGACTTGTGTTTTATAAGGGACAGTAATTAGTTGCCTAAAGGCCTGAAGAAGTGAATATAGCCAAATTGTAGTAGTAAATACGTTTATATCCTGCAATCCCCTAACTTGAATTCCTCTTAACCAGTACTCAGGACACTTATGGTGATAGATAATAATTTATATTTGTAATGATAGTGCTGAGGTCCTGCATATTCTGAAGTGCCTTCAGCATCGGATTAAATTATACACAAAGTAAATATGGTATTAAGTATATTCTATTCTGATGCTTTGAAAATGAATAATAATATTAATATGTTTTGCATGATTGTACATGTATAACCTATATCAAATTGCTTGCTGTCTCAGGAAGGATGTAGAACTAAAAATTTTTTTTAAATGAGTGTTAAAAATTGTCTTTACATGTAATTGGGAAAAATAAAATAATATTTTAAATAATATTAATAAAAGGTATTTACATAGAACTTGCTGTGTGTCAGGCCCTATGCTAAGTGGTTTACAAATATTTAGTTCATTTGATCCTCACAACAACCCTAGGAGGTAGGTGCTATTATATCCCTATTTTACAGACGAGAAACTAAGGCAAACAGAGATTAAATAACTTGCTCAGGGTCACACAGCTATGTCTGAAGCTAGATTTGAACTCATGTCTTCCTGACTTCAGACCTATCCACTGTTCCACCTAGCTGTAAACCACATTTGAATCTGATTGAAACTCACTATTAACCAGTATTTTTAAAAAATTAAACCTAAATATCCTATTCCCCAGCCATATGCTACAATGGCTACATTTTATTTTATCAGGGAGGACTGTGGGCCTTGGGGGAATCCAGTACCAAATACTTCTTTCTCTCACTGTCCCAGAAGGTTCAGCTACAGGCAGCATTGGGGAACAGAAGTGAGACTGCCCTTGTGACCTGGGAATAATGCATTAACATAGTTAAACAAATAGACTGAAAGAGGCAGAGCTGCTTGCTGGTCAGGGACTCCAGGAACAGGAGGTCAATCGGGGAGCCCCAGAAAGAGGCAGCGTTTGCTAGCTTTCTGGTTTGTGCTGTCCTCCCATCCCAGCAGAACCTTAAAAGCTATGCTCATAGACCTAGGGTGCTTGTGGTAACACACACAGAAACAAATCTCCAGCTTCCTCGTCCTGTAAATTTGTTGCTAAGAGAAAATATGGTAATTGGAGAAGGACAGCTAGTGTTCAGTGGGTATAGCGCTGGGCCTGCAGTCATGAAGACCTGAATTCAAATCCAGCCTAAAATATAGCTGTGTGACCCTGGGCAAGTAACTTAACCTCTATCTGCCTCCGTTTCCTCAATTATAAAATGGGGATCATAATACCATCTATCTCATAGAGTTAAGGTGAGGATCAAATGAGATATTATTGGTAATGTGCTTAGCACAGTGCCTGGGACACAGTAAGTGTTTAATAAATGCTGGTTCCCTTTCTTCCTGCCTTCCCATTCCATTTGAAAAGAGATGAGATTGGTCCTCAGGCTTGATGAAAGGTTCCATTCATGCTCTAATAGATTTTCTTTGTACTGAGGTGTTATTAATCCTGGGGAACAGAATCACTTGCTTTTAATCCAGGACACCAGGAAATTAAGTAGCCTCCTCTTAAACTCCCCCTCCACAACAATTGCACTCCATTTTTTATCCTGACATTTTGATTTTGTGGATTTGTTCAAGATGAACCAGTAATAATGCTATTTGTGATAATGATGCCTAGGTGCTAGGTGACATGGACATGATGGGGAAAAAAAGAGACCCATTATAGAAGACGTGTCAGTGAAGTATGGTTGAGAGATGACCTTTTCCAACATAAATCAGTTAGGCATTTATATGCCAGGCATTGTGCTAAGAACTTTGTATATAAACACAAAAGGGAGACAGTCCGTACTCACAAGGGGCTGTCATTCTACTGGATGTTCACCTAGAAGTGAGCTCAAAATACATACATACACACACACACACACACACACACACACATAAAGGAACTAGTGATTTCAAGTGGAGGTGAGAAGAAAGAACATTTTAGGCATGGGACACAGCCTGTGAAATGGTATGGTGGCAGGAATTGGACTATCATATGTGGGGAATTGAAAGTGGGCCATTTTGGCTGGAATGTAGAATAAATGAGGGGGAGTAATATGTACCTGGCCTGGAGAGATAGGCTAAAATCAGATTGGGAAGGATGTTAAATGCCCAAAGAGCAGTTTGTATTTTCCTTCAGAGGGATTGGGAGCCAATGAGGCTTTTGGAGAAGAGGAATGATGTGGTCAGAGCTGTACTTTAGGAATATCAGCGTGGCAGCTGGCTGGAGGTTGGATTGGAGCAGGAAGGCATCAGATGAAGAGATCAATTAGGAAACTAGTGAAAGAGTCTAGGCAAGAGGCAACCAGGGCCTAAACTAGAGTAGTTGTGATATAAATAGAAAGAAGGGGCAGATTGGAGAGGTGCTGAGGAGAACAGGATTAGCAAGATTGGCAGCTGACTGGCTGTGGGGGTGAGGGAGAGTCTGGAGTTGAGAATGACTACTACTAGGTTTCAAGACTGGGTAACTTGGAAGGATGGTTTTTCCTTCAGTAGAAATTGGGAAGTTAAGAGGAGGCTGGGGGTTTGGGAGAAAGAGAATGAGTTCAATTCTGAAAGAGTTGAGTTTGAAATGCATATGGGACTTCCAGGCACAGAAGTCCAATTCATTTCCCTCCAAGTCATCATAGATCTGAATGCCTACACAACCTGTGCAATTCTCTGGGGCATCAGTGTTTCCACTTACAGAAACTCCCTTAACACATTTGCGGGACTACATAGTTTTAATTAATTTACCTATGTATTTATGTAGTGTTTTAAGGTTTTAAGTGCTTTACAACTATTATCTAATTTTATATTCACAACTCTGGCCTATTATTATTATCCTCATTTTACTGCTGAGGAAACTGAGGCAAACAGAAGTTAAGTGATTTGTCCCACAGTCACACAACTTTTCAGTATTTGAGGCTCTATTTGAACTCAAGTCTTCCTGACTCCAGGCCCAGTGCTTTGCCCACTTCAACACTTGGTTGTCTTTAAAGTAACTTACTTTGGGGGCAGCTAGGTGGCACAGTGTATAGAGCACTGGCCCTGAAGTCAGGAGGACCTGAGTTCAAATCCAGCCTCAGACCAAACATTTGACGCGTGCTAGATGTGTGACCTTGGGCAAGTCACTTAACCCCAACTGCCTTACCAAAAAAAAAAAAAGTAACTTACTTTGATTGCAAAGACAGTAGAGTCACACAAATGACTTTGGGGCCCCAAAGCGAGCTATTGGCCTCATGTAGATCATGCTTGTGGCACAGTGCATGGAGTGCCAGGCCTGAAGTCAGAAAGATTTGAGTTCAAATCTCATCTGAGCTACTAGCTAGGTGATACTGGGCAAGTCACTTAACCTTGTTTGCCTCAGTTTCCTCATCTTTTGTAAAATGAGCTGGAGAAAGAAATGACAAACCACTCCAGTATCTTTGCCAAGAAAACCCCAAATGGGGTCACGAAGAGTTGGACAAGACAACAAAGATCAAAGACCGAAATCATCAACTGGGTTATCAAGTGTGGATCCTGTCTGAACGACATAATGTGATTCCATTTGTTTGTAACGCCCAAAGTATTGAGTATTGAGTATTGAGTATTGAGGAGTAACACCTGCATGACACCAGCAAAGTCTATTGGAATGGCTTAAGGTTTTGTGAAGAAACCAGCATTGGCAGGAATGATCTTTTTGTGCCTGGGTCATTTCTCTAGACCAGCACAGACTCAACAAACAGCAAAAGGATCTTGGGCAGTGTCTGCTGGCTTGCTGCTGAGTGAGCTGGGGGAAGGGCAAGAGGTGCTGTTTCCCAGATGTTAGCTGTGACGGTTTCAGATAAGTAGGGAGCAGTTCTTTGAGGAAACCCTGCCAAGAAAAGAAAAAACATCCCTCTTCCTCACCTTTGAATCATTTCCTTTCCTACACCTTTAAGCTAGGAGCTTGGGTATGGAGACATTCACTCCTTTCATTTAAGACTTTATCTTGACAGCAGAACTTTGGATTTTTTGTGGAAAAAAAGTTTTCAATGACCATTCCAATATCTATTCGATTTGTTTTCTTTTCTCTTTCCCTACCCTCACCAATAACTAGAGTTTAATTCTTTCAAAAAGGAAATGGTTACAAAGCTCAAGTGACAATTTATGGTCTTCCTTCACACTGAAATCTCTTTCACCCCACACCAGTGTGGCTGGTTCCTGCATATTTTTGTGGTAACTCATCAACAAAGAAAGGCTCAGGACTGGCAATCCTCAAACCCCCCACTAAACTCCGAGGCAGTGGCAGAAAATGCAAACCATGTCTAACTATGAAACAGACCCTGGGAAAGGAGACTGAATTCAGCGGCAAAACTCTAGCACCCCAAAATTGCCTGCAGGGGAGGGGATGGGACTGTGTTTTGTATAACCCCTTTATCAGAGGTCAAGAATCATAAAGGTCAAACAGTTCTTAACTCCGAGGGCATCCGCACGGCCCCTGGGGGACAGGGTTGGATAGCGTCCTCTAGTGTAGCCTTTTGGAAGGTTTCCTTCAAATGCCCCTAATACTAGCATGGGTTTGGGGCTGGGGGAGAAGGCAGAAGGGATAAAGCTTTTCAGAATCTCTGTCAGGGAGATAATCCTATGGTCTAGGAATCTCAGTGTTTCTTTCCCTTTTAGACAGTCCATCTCAAATTTCCCTTAGCTATGTTTCTATGATTTAGTGATAATACTCTGTACTTAGATTTTAGGTTGTACTAACCCTCTGGGTTTTTCAAAATGGTTCTCCTCTGTCAGTTTCTTAGACACAGCATTAATATCCTCATATGAACGTCTTCAGTGCAAGTGTAGATGACCCTGTGGGTTGTAGTAGGGTGGAAGGACCAGGTCCAGGAGGTTGGCCTGGGTCTGCCTGGTCCCTGAAGCCATCAGTTAAATAAATATTGAAGCAGCAGACACAGGGGAAAGTCACTGTAATGTCTCCTGGTTCAGGTGTGGGAACTCTGGGGAGTGGGCCTGGGTCTCCAGTCAGGATCTTGGGCCACGCTGCCTGCCCTCTGAATTCCAGGCTTGGTGTTTGTCATCTGACCTACCAGAGGCTTCACGTTGTCTCTGCTGCAGGATTTGCCTCCCATGAGCTCTAAGAACTTTAAACACATTGACCTCTTTTTCTCCAGTTAGCTCACTCCCTGCCTGATGAGATGTTAGGTGCTTATTTATACTGGAATCCTAACATTTATTTTTTAAACTTACTAACATATATCACAGGGTACATGGATTATCTAACAAATTCCTTCTGCTACAGTTCACTAAGTGGTCCCCAAAGTCTTTTCGATTTGAAAGAGCTGAATGAAATATTGGAAGGCCTATGGAAGAGGACAAAAGCTCTAGGGAGGGCAGAATCTATCTATGACTCATAATGCAAGTGAGAGGAGGAGGCTGGAAGAATTTATTTTAAATCCCCTCAGTCCCCCTTCCCCCCACCTTGTTTCAGATGTAGAAACTGCCACTCAAATACAGGAAGTGACTTGCTCAAGGTTACCCAGCAAGTCCAATGGCAGAACTGAATTTACTGAGAACACTAGAATGTTAGACCTGGAAGACTCCTTAGGGATGGTCCAATTCAATACTCACCCCCTTTACAGCTGATAAGACTGAGGCTAGAGATGATAAATGACTTAAATCCAGATCACACCGTTAGCTAGTGACAGATCCAGGACTAAAGAACCCAGGCCTTTTGAACCCCTAATTTGGTGCTCTTTCCACTATAACTGCTGGCCCCCTAGACTAGCACTCTTATTGCCAGGGCTCATCTTGCCTGCCGTGTTTTTCATTTTAAAACTTACAGAGCTCTTTTCAGGCAAATTAATTCCTTCCTTCTATCTCTCCATTCATTCGACTCCTTTCCTTCCACCACATCACACCCAAAAGACGATCCCCTCCAGTGACTCTGCCCCAGACCCGCTGGTCCTGGAGCCTGAGAGTTTTCCCCAAGGTAGCCCCCCCCCCCCTTGTAGCCTTGGCCCTCAGCACCCTCCGTCCAGAGTTGGCTGCTCCTTGTCCCTCCCTCCTTCCCACCCCCCTCCAGGGGCTCTGGGCTGAGGCTCGGTATGTGCCCGATCAGAGCTCTGGAAAGGTTACACCCGGGTCCTCTCGCCCGAGTGAAATGTGAGCGGGCTGGGCCGGGGATCCTTGCACATAGAAGGGCCGACTCCCTAACTCCGAATGCCTTACTCCTTTGCAGTCCTGCAACCGGGTCCTTAGGAAGTAGCCCCCTAGCTCACTCTTGCCCTCTCTCCTTCCCCCCCGCCCACACCTGTTATGACCCACCGCCCTCTACAATCCCGCCCCCCGCCAATGACAGCCCCCCACCCCCACCCCCAATCCCTGGCCAGCATGGCTCACTCCCAGTATGGACTGCATTACTTCGGGGCAGCGTCACAGCCCATGCTCCCGAAATAGACACCGAGTTAGAGGACTCACTCACCCACTGAAGAACTTTGATGAATCCCAGTGGTTCCTCCAGCCGCCTCCATCGCAGCCCTGAGAGAAGACGGTCCACCTGGGGAGACGAGGACCCCGGGGGAGCCATCAGGGCAATGGGGAGGGGTCCGAGGGGGCGTTAATGGGGATGCAGAGCACTGGGAAGAGGGAGGAGACTGGGGGAAAGGGAGGCTAAGACAGCCAGAGTGACAGTGACAGAAAAGAAAGACTAGAGAAAGCAGACGGCACACAGAGAGGGACCAAGGCAGCTAGAAGCATGTAAAGAAACAGAAAGACACGCAGAGAGGACTTGACACAAGCAGAGACAGCAGCAGGGAGGCCGGGGCAGAGGCAGGGGCCACACAGAGGCTGGGGCAGGGGCAAACCCTCCCGGAGCAGAGCCGTACCTGCTGCCGGGGGTCCTTGTCCGCAGATCGGCCGGAGCTCTCTGTCGTAGACATGCTGCCGGAGCCGGGGCAGGTCGCGCTGCTGGGCTGCCTCCTGGATAGGCGGCTGGAGCTGGGGCTGGGGCTGGGACTGACCTGGGGGCTGGCGGCCCGCGGGGCAGCTTGCAGGCGGTCTTGGACGGTAACCACGCGTCGGCGGGCCGGGATCCAGTCTTGCCGGGTTGGGGAACTGGGGACGCTGCTGCTGCTGCTGTTGCTGCTGCTGCTGCTGCTGCTGCCGCCGTTCGAGAAAGCCCTTCTGCTGCCGCAGCCCCGCTGCCTGCAAAAAGCCCTCGAGCCTGATTCAAACTTCTGTCAAACTTGCAGAGAAACTGGGCATCGGAGTCACGTGGCGTGCCCGCTCCCTGTCCCCTCCCTCTCGTCTCCCCACCCCTCGGATCCCCTCCCTCTCGCTAGCTCGCTCAGCCTCTCAGCTTGCCAGGCTCCTTAAAGGGAACCGTAAGTGAGTGGTCTGCTCTGCTGCTTGGGTGGCCACATTTCCTCGCCCGAGCTTCCCAGGAACCTCTATCCCCACCTTAGCACCCATTCTCTCTTCTAGTCCAAATACCTTCATCAAGCGCTAAGAGCTCTGTACTGGAGCGTCTAGACTTGTGGGTTTCAGTCTTTTCTCTCTTTGACCAACTCTCCTGGTAACTGGATTTCTTGGCGCCTGCTGCATCTTTAGTTAGTAATGTAAGACCCAGATTAAAAAAAAAAAAATCTCCTCAGGGTACCTCGTTTCTAAGACCCAACCCTAGAAAACACCAATATATATTGATAGAGTGCATTAAAGTTGACAGAGCAGGTATATAGTATAAGTATCATGCCGATTTCAATCAACTAATCGATAAACAATTATTGAGCACCTATTTTGTTCCAGGCACTGTGCTAAGCACTGGGGATACAAAAGAGTCAAAAAGTCAGTCCCTGCCCTCAAGAAGCTTATAATCTATTTTTATAGATGAAGAATAAAGTTATTTGCCCATGGTCACACAGCTAGCAAGCAGTGAAGGTCCCCTCCCTCCAAGTCACTAGATCACTGGACCAAGTTGCTTCTTGAGCTTGTCGTGACTGGAAAGCGCTTTTGTTATCATACTGTTGGAAACATTAACCTTCCTAATACCCATCCACTCAGAAACACAGTTTATATTATAAACTAAGGCAAAATAATTATTGTTGTATGATGACAATACTTAATTCATTCTTTCATTGACTCAATAAACATTTATTAAGGACCTGCTATCAAAAAAAAATACACTGTAACACTAGGTACTGAGAAAGAAAATAATGATAAATCAAACAAGACCACTGCTCTCCAGGATCTAATAGGCTAGTGGGGAGATAAGATATGTACGCAGTTAAAGAAGATGCAAATTAGAATATAGAAAGTACATATGAGAAATATAAAGATGAGGAAGAATCCATTCCAAGCTGGGGTGGAAAGTGGACTTGAGCAGAACTGAGGAAATCTTGGTTGGGAGTGGGGGTGATGAGGGTAACGTCTGAGCTGAATATTGAAGGAAAAGCACGTCAACAGGTAGAGACAGGAAACGTTATTCCAGAGAACAGTGTTCCTAGGAGCAGAGGCAGGAGAACGTAGGTTATGTTCAGAGGATGCTGAATAGTTCAGTCTGGCCGAACACAGATTATACAGGGAAGCATTATAACATAAAGTTGGAAAAGTAGGTTGGGGCCAGATTGTGAATGGTCCTGAATTCCGAGCTAGGTTTTGGAAATTTATTTGGTAAGCAATAAAGAGCCATTGAAGATTTTTGAGCAGTGAGTGACATAATCAGACCACTGCCTCAGGAAGGCTGGGTGCAGTGTGAAAGATAAATTGAAGACAGAAATGGAGAGAACTGTTAGGAGATTATTACAATAGTCTAAGTAAGAAGTAATATGGATTTAAATAGTGGCAGTGAGAATTATAAGTGTGAGTATGGGGTGAAGATGTGATTCATTCAATAAGTATTAAGAAAGAGCCACTATGTGCTAAAAGGACAGTGACTGACTGGACTTCAAAATGTCATTTTATAAACTCCTTTAACTACAAACCTATTATACTAGCTAACAATGTTAACTTCACTAACAATAAGGTGTTTCATATTTATTTCATTCAACATGAATGAAATTACCTCACAAAAACCCACTGAAAGGTAGCAAAATTTTATTTTATATGACAAAAAATGAAAAATAAAAAAATGAAGAAACTGAGGCTCCAAAAAGTTTAGTGACAAATCCAAGGTCACCTAGTCAGTAAGTGGCAGTTTGGATTTCCAACCAAGTGTTCCGCCTCCAAGTCTAATGTTCTTTCCGCTACACAGAATCATGGGGATTCTATGTTCATTTTTACAGTAGAGGAAGCTGAAGTACAGAAAGGTTAAGGTATTTAGCCAAGGTCATAGAGTGAGCCAGAGGCAAACAGCCAATGAGAGAGAACCCTCCTTAGTCTCTGTTCTTCCTAAAAATTTGCTTTGCAAATGTTTGCCCCTCTTTTTCATGGAGTCTTTCCTGGAGGTCCCCACTTGACATTTCAGAATGACTGGTTTTGGAAAATCATTTGTCCATGATTAGTGAAATTCACTCCCATTGAGAAAGTGGCATTCCCAAGTTCCTGGTGGCAAAGAGCCCAGAGTTGGGCTCTGGCCATCTGGAACTGCTGCCTCAGCATGGGGACCTGGATCCAAGGTCGCTTACCCTAAGAGAATCATATCCAGTGGAGTTATATCCAGGCTGATCTATTCTGAATAAGAAACAGCTGAATCCCCAGCTAAATTATTAATACATTATGCTTCAGAGAGAAACAGGGTTGAATGATGGTAGAGGATATGTCACATATACTGTGACCCTGGGCAAGACACTTAGCTTTTTATTACTCCCAGAATATTCTCTAAGACTAAGTTGTAGAATAGCTGCAGATCTGTGTTGAATGAGGGGGTTTCCTCACTGAAAGTTCCCTATTAAAACATAGGTCTGGTCCACCTCCTTCCTGTACTACCTCAACATAAATTCTATATCATACGATTGTAATGGAATACTATTATGCTGTAAGAAATGACAAGCAGGCTGATTTCAGAAAAGACTTACATGAACTGATGTAGAGCAAAGTGAGCAGAACCAGGAGAACATTGTATACGGTAACAGCAATATTGTACGATGAACAACTGTGAATGACAAGCTATTTTCAGCAATACAATGATCCAAGACAATTCCAAAGGGCTCATGATAAAAAAAAAAATACTGAGAAAGAACTGATGGAATCTGAATGCAGACCAAAACATACTATTTTTTACTTTTTTTTGTTGGAGTTTTCTTCTACAAAATGACTAAGATGGAAATATGTTTTACATGACTCCACATGTATAACCTGTATCAGATTGCTTACCATCTCAGGGAAGGGGAAGGAAGGGAGAGAGTTTGGAACTCAAAATTAAAAAAAAAAAGAATGTTAAAAATTGTTTTTACATGTAATTGGAGAAAAATAGACTACTATTTAAAACAATTTCTATACCAGTGTTCCTGATATGAACTTTATTAAAATTGGAGTTGTTGCTATTTAAAAGTAACCAATACATGCAATACAATTTCATTACAGGTTTATAAAAATAATCTCTATCTAAGATTCTATCTCTAGGGTTGACAGAATCATAGACTCTTAGATGGAAATTATCTTAGAGTCAGCTAGTTCAACTCAGAAAAGGAAACCCTTCCACAATATATCTGATTAGTGGGTCAACCAGTCAACTATATGGTTATTCCAGGTTGTCAATGTATTTCCTAAAATGAGATACCCAGCATTAATACTCAAGATGTGATCTTATCAGGACTGAGTAAGGTGGTACGATCACCTGTTTCAACTGGACACTTCTTATTAATGCACTTCAATGCAATTAATGCACTTATTAATGCCCTTTCAGCAATGGGGAACTCTATCTCCTAAGGCCATTTTGGTTAAGATCTAATTTTAGGAAGGCTTTCACATGGGACAACTTCCTCCCACAGAAAAAGCTATCCAGAATTCAAAGTAATCTGTAGGTCTAAATCCACTCAAAAAATCCCCTCAAAACAAAACAAAACAAAAAATGTAGCCCTTACTGATTTATTACTTTTACTAGTCAGTCATAGGGAATAATTTGTTCAAAGCAAAGGCATTTAATGAAATAGCTTTGTAAGAGAAATAGCAATAGAACATTTTCCTCCATAAACATAAAGTACATTCTCCCTTTGGTACTCATATCATCAGTGAAAAGTGTGGAGATACAGAAAACATACATGGAGAACACACATATAGAATACACACAGTAGGGGTGAATGCTTGGAGGGGCATCCCACATTTCTAATGCTTCAGGACTACCTGCTTCTAGTGATGTCATCATACTACTTCCCCTTTTCATGCCCTCAGACGTCAAGAACCAGAAATGCCTATGAAAGACTGTAAAGTAGTATGATTATATCACCAGAAGATGGCCTACTGTATGAAATGCCCCTGGTCACATGCCTTCCTCATGTATGTGCCTCCCCCATGGATATATATCCTAGCCACATGTGTTGCCTTCATGTATGTCTTCTGCACACGTCCATCTCTCTCCGCTCTTCCCAATCATGGTGTGGTTATCTGCGAGAGAATATGCCTCAGGTTTATTGGGGAAATATTTTATTTCTACTTCTCTTACTATGCTACTTCATTAAAAAGCTTTGATGGGGCTTGTGTTTTCTTTGTTGTTGTTATTGTTTTTGTTGTTGTTGAGTCTTTTCTGATTCTTCATCTCCCCATTTGGAGTTTTCTTGGCAAAAATACTGGAGTGGCTTGACATTTTCTTCTCTGGTTCATTTTACAGATGAGGAAACTGAGGCACACAGGATTAATGACTTGTCCAGGATCACACAGCTAGTAAGTGTCTGAGACTGGATTTGAACTCACAAAAATGAGTCTTCCTGACTCTAGGCCTGGCACTCTGTCTATTGTACCTTCTAGCTACCCTGTAACTGTGTTCTCTGGATGATTAATAAAGATCATAAGCTGTGCTTTTGAGTAACATGGACCC